ACTATATTAATAACAATAAATGAAACGACCAATTATTGGCAATATAAATAAAATAAAATACCACCACTTTCCCCATATAATGGTAAAGCAATTTTGAATTTAAAGTATGAAAATGAATTTTTTTCTAATTTAAATAACAATTATGTTTGTATTTTATAGATAACGGTTATGGTAATTTGCATGTGAGCGCAGCATACCCTCAAAGAAATACTACTGGACTAGCATTAAATTCCAACAATATTTCCATCACATATCGAGATCCCATCGAGCTTAGCAATGGCAATCTATATATCTATCAACAAATTAATGATCAAAAGCGTATTCTTCGACAGATAATTAGTGCAGACGCTTGTAGTATTGATAAAGGATGTACTGTTTCAGGCAATACCATTGCCCTCCAAGTACTTGATTGTACTTTCAATAATCCGAGTGCACAATATTATATAGAGGTCGATAATAGCTTTATAAGGAGTTCAGAATATAAAGAACCAATACTTGGAATTCAAAATATGTGGCAGTTTTACACAGGTATTATATTATATAATTACAATCATTTAGTTATTGTCCGGAGCGTAGATAAGGATCTAAGGGAAGAGTAATAATAGACCAGATTTTGTGTATAATAATGTCTGCATGCGCATTATTTTACAGTCTCCTTTATTTATTTATAATGTTAATTGACAATGGACAATGTGAAATGCGGAACCTTTGTAAATTAATCTTTTTTTTAGATTAGATTATTTAATTTGTCTGTATTGATTTTAGCTAGGCCATTTGAAAAATTTTTAGCTCCGGACGATTAACAGTGTCTGATTTTTTAGTTTAAAATTGGTTATTAATAGGAAGCTCATCAATTAATTTAAATAGTCGAACAAACACCATCTCAAAAACATGCAGGTAATGTGATCTAAGCTTATAAGGTTAATGTTTATCGATATCGATATATGTGTTAAGTTCAATTTTATCATTAAATCGATTAAATTAGGTGACATCTATGCAGTATTAAGACTAACAGATGATGGATCTCAGTATTTCTCTGGATTGAATTCTTCGGCAAAAGAAAACTTTTTTGCTACTTTGATAAAAGAACTTACAATTATAATTCCCACTGAGAATGGAAGATTGGACACAAATCAACATTATCAATATGACAGTTCATCGAAAGTTTATCTCTCGATTACTATTTATGCGGCAAAGGGTAATAATAAACTGATTACTACAGAGATATTAAATAATTTAGACCAGCTGATAAGGAATAAAAAATATACGTCAATATCGACGGAAACTACCACACAATATTTGGACGAAACTTTCGGAGTCAGCAAATATCGTAAGGACTACTTTAGTTTTTTATGGTTTATTTGTTGTAATTTAAATAGTTTATTTTATTTTGTCACTTTTTTTATAGAGACAATACAGGAATACTTTGAAGTACACAAGTCAAGGTTCATTATAGTGTTTGTGGTTATAGTTGCATTTGCTCTGTTATTCTTAGTGGCTAGACAAATATCAAATGAGGTTGGTATTAAAAAAATAATTCAATGTTTAATTTCTTTTTTCTCAGTATCTAATATATACAATTTACATACATATATATATAGGCTGAAAATTTTGCTATTCTCACGCTTGGTCTTACATTATTTCGTTTTGTCACTGTTACAGTATTTGTTTTTGTTGCTTCTCAGTCTATACCATCTCTTTGGGTACCGAGGTAAGATTGTGTATCATTCAAATAAATATATTATTAATTAATTAAATCACTAATTTATATTTTGTAATAATAATAATAATAAAAATAGTGTGGTATTTTTAGTGGTTCCCGTAGTATTCAATTTAGTTTTAGCATTTTCAATATTATTTACCGAACGAGAAAGACCATTCGTCAGATGGTTTGCACATAATGGAAGAGTTGCTGTTTCATTCGCATTATTATCTGGAGCAAATATCGATACATTATTAATATTAAGATCACGTGTGATGAATCTTAAGATGTTTAATGCGCCATTTAGCGATAGGTCGTTGAAGACAATATTTTGGGGAGCTTGTATTGGCGTATTTCTAACAGATATACCGCAATTTATTATTCAGGTATGCTTTAAAATTGAATAACGATTAATAATAATATAATAATACATATAATTTTCCTAATATAAATTTTTTATTAGATAATATATCTTCTTTCTAGTGTTGTGATCGATGTTACTTCAATATTTGCCGTAGTAGCATCAGGTCTCTCAATAGTTGCCAGTTTAACTAGTAAATTCTTCTTTATTTTGTATGGTGCACAATCTCCTTACTTAAAGCGTTTTATGGTCGATGAATCAACCACAGAAATTGAAAAGATTGATCCAACCAATATAAATGATGGAAAATAATTTGAAATTTATCGTAAGAGGAAATTTTTTTTTTTAAAAAAAAAATATATATATAAAGAAAATTTAGAATTTTATTGCTATGTTAGCTAAGAATCATTAATATTGTAGTTTTATTAATAGTTTATAATTACATGTATAAACTTTAAACAAATATTCTTAATAGTAAAAATTTACTATTGTAATTTTATTATTACATGTAATCATTATAATTAATATTAAAAACAATTTTTACTCTTAAACTATAGAATTAAATTCGAATGATAAGTTCATATTCGTTCTATCTAATCATTTTTAGCAAAATTGCACGCACATGTTGTGTAATATTCGTTATAATATCGGGTTTAGTATTCCATTTCTTTTTAATTATTTTGATTTACTTTTTACATAATAAACAGATTTGTTGATGTTGCCAACACACATCATTACATTCTTATTTACTTTGTATTTAATGTTTATTTATTCATTCCTTCGATGCGTATAAATTATGCAGAATTTAAGCCTGATTAACTTATAAGTGTGTATATCGATATATTTACCTTAAATACGTAAATGGCGATTTACAATTTAGGGAAAATGCTATTTATAGATTTCATCAACGAACGTCTTTGCATACCGGTACGCATTCATAAATAAGTACCGGTAAGAACCGGTATTGATATTACGAATTCATGTTGTCATTTTCTTTTATCTGATATGTTAATGAATCAATATATCTTATCTAATTAAGGTATTATAAATAACAATAATATTAGTCTTAATAAATCTACAATACATATGTCGAAACTCAGGGTGTAATGCTCGATTTTGACATATGCCTACCACTCGCACGACTAATTATGACGATCGAAGTATCGTTCAAGTACTTCCACCTAATACAAAGCACAGAGCGATACATACTATGATACGGTGTATTTAAAAAAGCGTCTCTTTATTTACAAGCATAAAACCTTACTTTGCCAGAGATCTGTGTCCTACTTATAGTATATATCGGTAATAGATCATGCCATTAAAAATAGAAAAGCCGTTACGTATGTAGCTTGGAATCGATAAATCGGAACTGTTATTTGTAATAAAGTACCTAACAACTCATATAAAAAGAATTAACTTGATTTTTTAAAATCACGCCATTCAGACGAAATGAAATCTATTTTGATTAGGGTGAACGTTTCGCAAAATTTTCTTTTATAGCTGTCGTTCAAATCTAACTACTAGCCAAAATTTATAGTTAATTCTAATTATAAAAATCAGATGAATTTGTAATTAGGCAAATAAATTGGCCAGCATTATAATTAATGCGGGCTAAAGTCATCACATTATGTTATAAAGTAGTGATTGGGTTCATCAACTCGGACTTATAATATGAAATATATAGGTGCCATAAGGGAAAATCGGACTTCAATCCATCAAGATTATTATATGCGAGTTAGTCACGCTGGAAAAAAGTGTTGACCCTGTGGTCTTCCTGGATTTAAAAACTTTATCGTTAATGTCTAATTTATATATTTACATAAGATTTGCGCAAAATTAATTATATATTTCGAATTAAATAATAATCACTCAAAAATTTTTTAAGCAATTTATTATTTTTTTAATTATCTAATTTGGTTTAATTTGAAAATTTATTGTACGGGTCTTATGTGACAACCCGTGCTTTTTTCATTTGGTTATTGCACGGGATTGTTACGTCA